TTGTTTGTGATCCATCAGGTCATTCAGATACTGGGCGACAAGTTTCCCTACAAACTAGTGGCGAAAAAGATCGACTGTGAGTATCAAAAGTAACACCACTGCCTAAAGAAAAATAAATACATTAAAATTATGTGGTCATTGCTTTTGCAAAATTTTCTTTATGCAGTGCCTGAATACCAGGGAGAGCCAGATGAGATCTCCATACAGAAGTGTAAGGAGGCTGCACGACAGGTACAATATAATACCACTGCTATATCACGTATTAATTAAAGACAGTGCCTTAACACACACCCCGCCCCCCCAATTCAGATTGATGGACCAGTCATAGTAGAGGACACCTGTCTATGTTTCAGAGCTTTGGGGGGATTACCTGGTCCTTACATGTAAGTCAACTATCTAAAGTATGTATTCAATGATATCATCTTACATAATGACAGTGAGCGTCAATTTTAAAACAAATATTTGTTTCCATAGTAAATGGTTCCTGGAAAAACTCAAACCAGAAGGTAAGTAATGAAATAAATGATATCTAGAATGTGTTGTTTAAACAAACTTATGCAGAGCTTGATGGATGCTTGATAATCAAGTTAGGAAATCCCAGAAAGTTGAGTCAGTTCATTTGGGCAGATTGCTTTCAATTGGAGAAACCTGTCATCCCTTATCCAGATGACTTCACTGCAGGCTCCCAAACCTTATAGACAGTACGGTTGCATAAAGATCAGCACCATTGCTTAACAATGACTCACGTGACCAGATATGCCAATTAGAATTTTCTTCAGAAAAACCAAACAACTGCTGGCTAGGCATGTTGCACGGAAGTGTTACCTGAACAGGCCAGTCTACACTTACAAGCCAGAGGCCAATCTTTTGATGAAGATGTGCAGATTCTGGACAGGAAAGAATGAAGGTTTGAGCGAGGAGGGCATTGATATAAAAATAGAGGCCCCCTTCCTCAGTTCTAAAAGTACATCTCCTACCGTCTTACAATGCCGTGATTGGAGCCATTCCCCAGTTCTTTGTTAGTAGTACTCATGGCCATTCATATTTGCATATCAGCAGTCATCAACTAATCGTGTGGCTCATTCTTATACAAGCACCTTAATAGTTAAATTTTAAAATCTGTTTATAAACCTGCAGTCAGCTGATACTGAAGAAGTTGCACGGTCACTTCACATAAACCAAATCAACATTCTGGGATTATGCAGAGCTTCTTTAGAAAAACTAGTGTTGACTTTTGAGGGGTTTTTTCTTTTTTTTTCTTTTTTTTTAATTATTAATTTTAAAATACGTTTTAGGCTTGTACAAACTTCTAGCTGGATTTGAGGATAAATCTGCATGGGCTCTCTGCACTTTTGCGTACTCTGCTGGGAAAGATGAACCCATTCAGCTCTTCAGAGGGAAAACAGAGGTCAGTCTGTCTCTGTAAATCTGTCCTGGTGTTTGTGCTTTTGTGCGTGTATTTTGAATTGACTCCTGTGGTATTTTCAGGGGTGCATTGTAGAACCCAGGGGGCCTCGAGACTTTGGCTGGGATCCCTGTTTCCAGCCAGATGGATATGACAAAACGTAAGCAAAACAATTTGCATTTCCCCCTTTCGACCAACAAGGGGAGCCAGAGGTTAACACACTGCCTCTGCATTATCAACCATACAAAATCCTTTTTGCTTCATGCGGTGCACTTCGGATGAAGTATTGCTGTTATTATTTAACATTTGTATCAAATAATAATTTTCACTACTAATTTCTTTTCACTTCTCTGCAGCTATGCTGAACTGCCCAAAGAAGTTAAAAATTCAATCTCCCACCGGTACCGGGCGCTTGCTGCCATGTCTGAGTATTTCTCGCAAACCAACAATACCTCACCACAGACCAAGAAGAAGAAAGAGGAGGAAGACTAAAGATAACTTTTGCTCCAACTTCAGGCTTTGAAGTTGCAGTATTATGCATCAAATATAAAGGGAGAAAATATTCCTTAATAAGACACTATTTGTTAGCCCAGAAAAATATAAAAGATAAAACATTTTTGATGCATACCCGTAGTCTCTTAAGCGGGCAAAGTGCTGCGTAATATCTGTTTTCTCTTATTTTTTTAATAAATGTTTTTGAACAAATGCAATCGTCCATGTGAACATTTCTCTTTGAATATTACCTCTTGGATACTCTGAGACAACATTCTGAGTTTTTGCTTCCAAGGACAAAGATAGACTGAGGAAGAGTATAATTCATAAAAAAACAGGAGCTCTAGGGTCCTGATGAGAGCAGCAGACTCCTCTGTGGCTGAGACTGGCTCCTGAATTTGGGGAGGGAAGCACATGGCTGGAGTCCAGAGAGGGGAGGGTCCCTGAAGTGGAGAGCGGGGTGTTCAGTACAAATGCCACAGTGATAACAAAGAATCTTGGGTTATAAATGACCCATGAGGTGAAAGCCTCCAAGCAGGAACTATGCATACACCTGTGACTAATATCTCCCACATGTATTGAATCAGTGACGCATGCTTCCACAGCATGTCTGCTTCTACTGTTACCAACTGTTTAATCACTTCATTCACTTGAATCAGTTGTGAATTGTTCTCACTTATCTTTCCTGCACGACGCACTGCACACTCTAAAGTTTTCCCATCTAGTTAATAACATTGATAATCAGTAAAAGTAACAGTTTCAGAAATAAAAGTGCAAACACAGGACCGACCACCCTGTTTTCCCTAGACCTCTGACTCAGTTGCAAAAAAAAAGAAGAAGCTGTTTTGTTCTTGTCAGGAAACATTACCAGTTTTTCCCAGAATACGAAGTCTGCCTGCCAGGCTTCAGGTTACTAGAGGTAAAAGACAAAACAATTACTGTAAGTGCTGAAGCATTAATCAAAGCCCCACTGTCTGTGTGAATGTTGGATCATTTGAAAGGTATGATAAGGGCATGATACCTAAATTTCAATACACTGTCCAAGCCTACTAACAGGAACAATATTCATGTTTTTAATATGATACAGTTTTTGGCTGATAATGTGTTATGT